CTCAACAAATGCTTAGTAATCCCTATGTGACTTCACCCTATTTCTCTTTTCTTAAATTTTAGGATTTTTTTTTTTTTTTATGCTATCAATATTGATACTGCTGACATTACTGACATAATACGGATTATGTTAACCCATTTGCAACACGTGGCAAGAATAGATGCCATACCCACTTTGATACACGTTTATTTATTGTATTTACACATAGATGGCTCTACAAGTTCTTAAATACCAAATAGCCAGTTATAAAGAACTACCTACTTCACCTGTTAACCCTTTTCCTTCACTTTAGAAAAGGGTTTTTTGTATCATTTCATTGTCAAAAATATTCTAATGACAATTCAATAATCATAACATCAATAACAATAATAACAGTAACGAAAGCAATGGTATTAATTTTCCCACCAATTCAATGAATGGGAAATTCATGGTTGGTAACTAAGGCCTACTGATAGACTCTTTGCCGGCTGAGCACATGTGGAGCCATCTGTATGTAACAAAATTCACCAAAAACTACTGGGGACAGAACATAAATCCAGGGCGAATGGGTTAAGATAATAATAGAAATTAAGAATATAAACAAAAATCTTTCTAAATATCTAGGAAAAGGGTAAACAGGTGAAATAGGTAGGATTTGCATTTGACTTCTTAGTGACTAAACACTTGCTTAAAAATAAACTAAGAGCACAATGGATATAGCATATTCACTGCTCACCAAAATACTGAAAATGTATGTCAACAGAGAGCCAGCGCTAATCATTTCAGTGTAATCAGAAACTCTCAAAAAGTCTCGATAAAATTTGTGGATTTGTATGACCTCAAAAGGCCAGTGACATTACACCTTGATATACAGAATGCGGGTCAGATAATCATGAGACGACACAACGAAACGGCCACATGGTTGACATAAAAATATAGAAAGCCATTTCATCATTACAAAATACATGAAAGGACAAAGAAAAGTAAGAAAGAAAGAAAGAAAGCAAGAAAAAAGAAAAGAACGAAAAAAAAAGAAAAAAGAAAAGAATAAAAAAAAGAAAGAAAAAAGAAAAAAAGAAAAGAAAGAAAGAAAAAAAGTACAAGTGATAATCTTTAGAGACATCAGTCTGGCTTGTCATGTCGAACTGATAACTGTAAGAATGAAACGGCAAACATGCCACAGGCCACATTTTTGACGCCAAACACAGGCCATGATAAAAAGGTTTGGATGCATTCGTATACTCTTCTTTCTTTCATGACTGAAAAACGAAGAAAAAGATTTATTACATTTCCATTCTACTGTTAACAAGTAAATTGACAGATACATCGTGTAGTGGTAAATATAGTCCTATTACCATAGAAATTACGGTTTTCAAAATCTTCAAAAACATTTTACCAATCAAATGCTGGACTATTTACAGCCAATTACCAGTTTGGGTTTAAGTCAGGGCACTCCACAGAGTTAGGCATATATGCAATCTAGGAAGTAATTAATTATTATCGCAGTCTGATTATGCCGGTTTTATGTTTTATATACACAAAGATTGTCTGAATTACTGGGGACTGTTTGTTAAGCTTCTTGATTGAGGTACACAGGCTTACCTTGTATTAATATTAAAATACTGGTAAAGCAACAAGCTCCTATATGTGAAATGGGGTGTTACAAGTCTCAAGATGAACTAAATGGCATCTGACTAGGAAACAGCTGTCACATTGCTGGGCATCTGATTAAACAATTTCTCAGTCATATGTCAACGATTTGTGGATATATGCTGATGATCTATCAATAGTCTGTCCCAGTGCTTCTGCCCTTAGCGAGCTGCTTGTCATATGTCAACGATTTGTGGATAAACATATTTCATACAGCTTAACAAAATCAGTCTGAATGCACATTATGCCAAAGGTAAAAGTTACTAATTTACCTGCTGTCTACCTGAGCAACACCAAGTTGAAGTACATAGACTTCTTTACTGATACTGTTACACTGATAGGAATATTCAGATTTGCAAATGGGGATGGGAAATGTAATCTTTTTAAGACGCTTGACAGGCTACAAGACCTACAACAATATCATGAGAATTGTTTGGTGTCCCTTGGTGGGAGAATGTACCATGACTTTGTCCCATAATGTTAAGAACATTCAAGAGGTACAAATATTTTGACATAAGCCCTGCAGAATACTTAAGTAATGTTTGACAGCATTGGGTTAACCTGCTCTTATCTTAATCACATTTAGCTGATAAAATAATTCAATTTCAATATCATGTTGTGTTCTTATCTAAAAAATTATTCCATCGTACATACACTTAATTTACTGTTTACACTGTTTCTTGCTATATATACACACTTCTACTTGTTGCATTATGAACTTATGTAAAAAATGTTTTATATTCAGATCCAAGATTGTTTGCCTGTCTCTCTCTCTTTAAAGATCACTAATTGACTCAAAATACACATATCTGTCTTAAAGCTCTATTTTCACTCTTTTATATAAGGATGGCTGAAGCTGAAATAAAGATTA